GCTGGTGCTTGTTAGGCTTATCATATCCTACTTGTGAGTAGGTCTCAAAATGGTCATAATAAAATGCTGAAAGACAGGGAAAGAAGGGAGGAATCAGGAGAGGAACTGCATTACTTACTGGTGTGTGTCTCCGCAGGAGCCAAGCTCAGACCAATCTGCACCTAATTGTTATGCATAAAGGGCAAGAATGATATTTCCCTGTCTTTCTTCATTAGGGTTTGTTATTTATGCTGGCATAACTACAATATCAGAGAGGAAAAGACTAGAAGCATAAAGACATGTTTTCCAAGGAAGCCCTGGATCACAAAGTTGAGTATGAAAACCGTTCCTTGCCTAGGGGACACTGGAACCCAGACGGCCACAGAAAAAGCCTCCGCTTTCATTCTGCCTTCCCTCACCATCCCTCTCTGGCTCCAACTCCAAACACTGCTGATGGTGAGGTTCTCCCAGCACAAGCTCATCACTAGTAATTTTGTTACAGTTTCAAAGGCGATACAATAAATACCGACTTTTACCACCATGGTGCCATTTCAGGTTGAGTGGCCCTTAAAGCATCTCTGATTCCAAAACCTGAAATTTGAAATGGTCCAGAATCCAAGACTGTCACTCAAAAAGTGTTTGATATTGGAGCATTCCACATTTCTGGATTAGGGATACTCAACCTGTGTATTGGCACCTGGGTCAAAAAAGTCCAGAATTTGTGATCAGTTTGCTTAAGATATTTGCCAGTTAGCAGAAGTAGGAAGTGGTCACAGAGCATCTACTAAGTGGTGGCAGACAACTAAACTTCTAGACGCTTCTTGTAGCCAGTATATACCCCTGCCCATCAGGGATGTGGCAGACCTGGTTCATTTGCAAATCTACCTGCCTCTGTTGTAAGAAGCTGCTGTTCTTGATTCTAACACAGTGTCAGTAACTAAGGTCTTTATTAAGTATTCCCAGAAATGTGACCAAACCATTTTCTATTCTTGTATAAGGTATGTTAATTCCCTCTCAGGAGTTTGGATTAGGCTTTTATTAGCTTTACCTAACTTTACAAATAACCAAGTTGAGGGAGAAAAAGTATTCAAAGCAGGCATCTGTGATTATTCTAAAAAAGAAAACTTTCCAAACACCACTTACTGCTCATAAGTTAGCAGAACCATCAGGTAGCAATTTTTTGTTTGTCTTTTTGAGACAGGAATTTAAATAAGAAAAAGAGGAGTCTGGCAAACATGCCACCAGGATGCAAGGGGAAGAGACCATAGCCCTGAGGGCAGGACAGAGTCAAAGGCTTCTGTAGCTGTTGAGTAGAACTCTAAAGAGTAAGTTTTACAGGGGCTGGAGCAACAGCTTGCAGTTAAGAGCACTGGCTGTTCTTGCAGAAGACCTGGGTTCAATTTCCAACACCTACATGGTGGCTAACAACCATCTGTAACTCCAGTTCGAGGGGAATTTGACATCTTCTTCTGACCTCTGCAGGCTTTGCATGACGTGGGTGCACTTACATACATGCAGGCAATATACTCATATACAAAAAAATAATGAATAAAATGAAAATTAAGAGAATAAGTTTTACAAGGAGACCTAGACTGTTGTCATTCAAATATCTCCTCTATTGAGAGAGTGAGCTGGAACTGACCTGGAAGCCACCTCCTTGAAAACTGTCTGTCATAGTTTCAGATACTATGCAAGCTCCTAAGGGAGAAAAATTAATCAACAATCCAACCCCAGGTTCAACCCCAGCTTTAAAGCCTAATAAGCACAAGAATGAAAGGCACAGCAAACTATCACTATCAGTGTAGTAGTGGCACTTTTATCTTGAGGGTAATCAACAGTTATCTAATTGGACTTAAAGCCACCCAAAGGGAGGGAACTCATGTGTGATACTGTAAATATAGCCAGATATGACTAGATAGGTCATAGATTCTAGAGAAAACCTTACATCTCTCACATCCTTAGACAAACATAATTTCTTACTGTATGCTAAACATGTATCCTAATATTTACAGACAAGTATACCTGTTATCACTCATCAAAGACATTTCTTTTTGCAATAGGTGGAGACTGTACGGAGTTCCACAACTGGTCACACAGAGAATAAATGTCTGTGAGATGCCCTAAGTGACACATCTACAGTGGAACCTCTACACCTAAGGCTCATGGAACATAGAGGAACAGGGGGTAGAGAAAACTCTAATGCATCCCTCAACTCTCACCAGTGAAGCTGCCTCATGCAACAGAGGGCGATTAACACAAGGCCACAACTGGTCAAAATGTAGAGAATAAGAGACTATATAGTATGTGTCCCTGGATCTGACTCCTATATTAAATCTCACCCACTCAGGGCTCAGGGACCACGGCATAAAAGGGAATGAAGAGACTGTAAAAGTCAAGGGTGGTAGATGACCACAAGGAAACAAGAGTTTTCCTGGCTTCTGGTAACTTGCTCACATGAACTTACAGCAATGTGACAGAATGCACAAGACCCATGCAAACTCAAACCAGACAAAAACCTGGCATAGAACTAGGGAAATGGGCAAGAAGCTCCAACCTTAGCTGAGAAACTACTGGCAGCTGATTATAGCAGGGTGAGGAAGAGTTGGTCTTCTTTAAGGGAGTGACACTAGATAGGCTGACCAGGTTCTAGTGGATGAACTCACACTGAGGGACATCTGGGTACACAAACTTGACTCAGTAGGCCTTAACATATATGACAGACTGCATGAAATCTGGTGGGGGCGGATATGGAGGGGTGCAGAGAGGGGAGGGAGTTTAAATATGACTAAGATGTTTTGTCCGAAATGCACAAAAATTTAATAATATATAAAAAAAAAAAGTCCCCTCTGCTATGGTGGTATTCCCCAAATTCATGTGCTAGAAAGTTAATTCCCAATATAAGAAGTGTTGAGAGGAGGGATCTGAAGAGGTGATTAGACATCAGGGTTTGACCTCATGAATGCATTAATGCCCTTATCTCAGGAATGAGTTCCTGATAAAATTATTTCAGCTTCCTTTTCTCTTTTGCTCCCCACCTTCTACCCAGGGATGACATAGCTTTCCTCAGTTTTGGACTTCCCTGCATATAGAAGTGTAAGAAATAAATCTCTGTTCTTCATAAATTACCTAGACTCAGGTATTCTGTTATAGCAGCACCAAATGGACCAAGACACATTCCTAATAATCAATGCTGAGGGTCTAGATCAGACTGGCCTGCCTCAGTGTGGAAGAGACACTGCAGCACACACACCCTAAGGACTGTTAACATGAGACTGGAGAGATGGCTCAATGGATAAGAGTGCTTGCTGTTCTTCCAGGAGACCGAGTTTAGTTCCTCGCATCCATGTCAGGCAGCTTAAAACCACCTACAACTCCAGCTCTAGGGGATCCATCACCATCTTCTGGCCTCTATGTACACCTGCACTCATATGCACGTACCTCCACACACCTATATACATAACTAAAAACAAAATAAAATCTTTTAAAAAAGAATCACTAGCACCTAGCATTAAAGTATCTTCTACAAAATGCCAGGACAGTTTCTCTGATCCTGCAATATTTACTGTAAAACAAAGAGAATTAAATTGAATAAAACTCCCTTCTGTAATATACATCCTATAAAGACACCCATGTCTTAATTCCCAGAACCTTTGAGCATGCTACCTCACGTGGCAAAGGGCCTTTGTGGGTATGATATGAAGTTAAGGACCTCAAGACAAGATCACCCTGACTATCCAGATGGGTCCTAACTCCAATAGCAAAATTCTTATGAGAGAAGAAAAGGCCATGTGAAGACAGGCAGACACAAGTGATACTGCTACAAGCCAAGGAATGCCTGGAGCTACCAAAGGTTGGAAGCATTTTCTTACAGAACTTTTGGAGGGTTGTAGCCCTGCCTACACCCTGATTTCTGAGTTTGAGCATCTATGAAATGTAAGAACATAAATTTCTGTTATTTTAGTCTCCCAGTTCATGGTAATTGTTAATAGCTTTATAAAATTAATATGGTTACTAAGTAACTGTTCTCTGTACCAAGTCTGGTTAGTCATGGCTGACCTGGCTTCATGGTCAGTGTCTTATAGTTGGGTTACTAAGAGACAGAAGTATTGCCGTAGGAAGCCATAGGATCTCCACCCTGCAGATCTGACTGCTGAAATACTCTTGGTGGTAGGACCTCATTTCATCCTGTGCAAAGACAGAATTTCACCTGTTATTACAATCCAGTTTCAAGGCTAATGGCAAAAAGAACTGGCCATAGGAACTGCACTGTAGAAAACTGAGCTGGCTCCCACAGAGTTATGGGTTAGCAATTCTGATCCTGATAAACATGTATACACATGTTCAAGTAAATGAATGGCAGGTAGTAGGAGCTAGTGTTCTCATTGTTGGAGTCAGAATGACAGACTAGCCGGGGGGAAGTCTAGAATGATTCATGTGATGGTGGCTAAGTGTGGGAGACACCAGCATGAACTCATGTTTAGCTGAAGAGATATGGCTATACAGAGTATTTACAGACATGTGTAGACATGTGGCTTGGCACATACACACACACACACACACACACACACACACACACATTTCTTTGCTTCCTCAGCTAAAGGGATCTCAAAGCAATGGCAGTACAGCAGACATGGGTACAACCATGTAGCTGGTGGTTCCTAATAGCTTCTCCAACAAAAGTAATGAGGGCTTCTGAGAGAAATGGCTGATTCTAAGTCAGGGATTATAAAAAATAAATCTGGAACACAGTGTAGTGCTAGAAATTAAGAAAGTGCTAAAAAATATATTCATAAATAACCCACCCAACAATGGGGGATGGTGAAGGTCATAGGAGCCAACTGAAAGACTGCCAATGGCCAGAGCAGGAGCAGTTTAAGGAACAAAATAGATAAGAAAGTGTTAGATTATAACCTAAAGTATTACATAAACACTTTAATAATTAAGTAAAGGTGCATAATTAAATAGAGGTGAGAAGACACAAACCTGTGCAGAATTCCAAATAATTTATATAGATACTTTACCTACACAGTAGGGAAGCAGAGCCTCTCCCTCAAGTGCCTGCTGCCCACAGTGACTTCTTTTACAGAGTACAGTATGAAAGAGAGAGAACAGCTTTTCAGTGGAGAAACTTGACAGGCACTTCAGCCAGAAGAACAAGGTGGACAGCAACTGTGACAAGTCATGTTGACGGTGTACAGCTTCCGCATGACATGGGGAAAATGGCATTCTACCTCTGTGGTCTTCCTTCCCTGAATCCATACTTCCCAGGGGTAGTAACTGTTTGTGCTGAGGAAGCAGAACAGACTTGGAAGTTATCAACACATAGTAGTTCACCGTAAACAATGTTTCTTCCTATCTCTGTCAGCTGAAATGGTTTAAAAACAATTGCCAAGGGGCTGGAGAGATGGCTTAGTGGTTAAGAACACTGGTTGTTCTTGTAGAGGACCCAGGTTTGAATCCCAGCACCCACATGGCAGCTAACAACTGTCTGTGACTCCAGTCCCAGGGAATCTGACAGCCTCTTCTGACCTCCTTGGGCATTGCACGACATGGGTGCACTTACCTACATGCAGGCAATACAAGCATACACATAAAATCAAAATAATAAATAAAATTAAAAAAAGAAAACCATTGCCAAACCCAAAGCAATAACAGGTCCAGATTATGGTCTCTAAATACCATTTTCTAGTTTTAGGGAGCCAAATAGGGTTCTTTGGAGAAATGGCTGATTCCAGTATTGGGCATTTAACTACAACTACGACTTCCTCTTATTGTTTATTTTATTTTAGGTGTGTGTTACACCTGCATGTATTTAAGTACACCACATGTGTGCAATGCTCAGGAGACCAGAAGAGGGCATCGGATTCCTGGAACTGGAGTTACAGATGGTTGTTAGTCACCATGTGGGTTCTGGGAACTGAACCTAGGTCCTCTGCAAGAGCAGGCAGTGCTCTTAACTGCTGAGCCATCTCTCCAGCCCCTCCTTTTGTTGAGAGAAACTTTCTCATGCTGTTTAGAACTAACAACTTCTTCAGTGCTTCCACCACATTCATCTTCTTTCACCTCTCTGTGGTGAGCAGAAAAATCACACCAAAGATGTCTGCGTCCTAAATCCCAAAGTCTATGAATGTGTTACTTTACATGGCAAAAGAGATACCACAAATGTATTAAAGTTGACCACCTCAAGTGAAGATCATCCACATGGGCCTAATCTAATTCCACAAATCTTTAGAAGTGGAGAGCAGCTCCCAGCTCAGGTCAGAGGAAAAGCTCTGAGGAAAGCAGGGCGAGAGGGACAGTGTTGCTGACTCTGGAGACAAGGCCCATGAGCCAGGAGACATGCATCTCATGGAAGATGAGAAAGGCAGAAAAGCAGGCATTGTTTCCATGTCGTTATCATCATCCCTATTTTTTGAAATAAAAAGTTTAAAACCACCCAGCTAATAAGTGGCAAAGTCAGGATGCGCAGTCTGACGCAAGAGTTGGTGCCTATAACCATGACATAACCTCCAGACTGCTGGGATTATAGGTATGTGCCACCTTACACAAATTATAAGATTACTGTTCTTTATGAATAAATATTTATTTTGTGCCCCTCTACTCCCCATCCCTATGCTAGAGATCCAATCTAAGGCCTTACATGTGTTAGGAAGGCATTTTACCACTGAGCAAAATACAACCCCAAGTTCTATTCTCTTTTCCTCCAGTACTGGGGATCAGACTCTGGGCCTTACCTTGCTAAGCAAGCATTCTACCACTGAGCTCTATCCCCAGCCTAAATAATTCATGCAACTCAATAAAAGTCCACAGCTCAATTGAAAAATGGGCAAAGGGGTATGAACAGAGCTTTCCTCTACTTTTTTTTGAGATGGGGTCTTATACAGTCTTAAACTGGCTCTGTGGCTGAGGATGACCTTGAACTTATGCTCTTACAGCCTCCACCTCTTTAGTGCTGGACTTGCAGGCATACAATAGCACTCTCAGTTTATGTGGTACTGGAGCTCAAACCCAAGAGTCCTGACATCAGGCAAGCATTCTACCAACAGATCTACATTCCCAGCCCTCCCCCTACTATTCTTAAATGACAAAAGATGAAGGCTTCCAACTGGCACTATTTGTCAGCATATTGCCTCCGATGAGCAAGTTTAGAAGTCATAAACATTCTAGAATAGAGGAAAACAATTCTTACCTGTAAGTTTGTTTTGTTCAAAGATGTGTGTCAGTGGAATAGTAAGTCTGAAAGTCTTAGCTCTGGACTTCAGAATCCTTCCATAGGACACAGGGAGACCAAGAAATCCATCTGAACCAAGTATTCAGTTCTTACTCCTGCTGGAGGCAAGATAAGAAACTGGGTGGAAAAAGTGAATGTGGTAGAGGAGCTTAAAACCACAGCAGATGACCCAACTCTTCTTGGGAGGCAATCTCAATTTCTGGGCTCAGCTCATGGAAGGAAAGTATTTACATTCAGTGAAACTAAGTGGGCTTGGTATCAGCTCAAGGGACCAAGGAATGTATTGAATAAAAAAAAGTTCCCATTAACCTAGAAGAGGCGTTCAAAGTTCTTGACTCCATGTAGAAATAACAGCTGTATGTTCTCAGATAAATAAGGAAATGCTGAGCTTTCTGAATAGAGGTTCCCAAGTCTTTTTAAGTCAGACCAACTTACATTAGAAAGAGTAAAACAAAACAAAACAAACAAACAAAACAAGCTTCTGAAGTAATTTGCCAAAAATGGTCAACCTCAACTTAATTAAGCCTTTATCTCTAATTTCAATTTACAGAAAATATAGGAAGTAGTGCAGCAAGCTAAATCATATTAAACAAAACAGAAACCCAGCCAAAAAGTTCAGAATATGCAAGATTCTGCATGAAATAAACTATGTGACATCAATAAATCATCTGTACTAAAGAAACCTATTGAAGGCTGGCAAAACGGCTCAGTGGGTAGAGGCGCTTATCACCAAACTTAACAACCTGAATTCAGTCCTTGGAAACCACATGATAGAAGGAAAATCGAGTCTGGCAAGTTGCCGGCTCTCTCTCTCTCTCTCTCTCTCTCTCTCTCACACACACACACACACACACACACACAAATAAATAAACATTAATAAAAGAAACTCATGAACTACTCCAGACCAATCATGGCCTGTAGGTAAATCCAGTCTACCAGTAGATTAAAAAAAACAACTCGGAAAATTAAACATTATTTGAACAGAGTCATGCACACTGATTTACATACCAGGTATGGCTACATTTGTATGACAACTGCAGAGCCAGGCATTTGTACAGAGACACAGGCCCTTCCAAACCCAAGTTTTTATCTTGCCCTTCACAGGGAAAAGTTGCCAAATCCCTGCTATAGCCTAACAGAGGCAATCAACAGGTACCACCTGCAGCCCTTGTTTACATTCTACTTTACATAAACCAATGTAAAAATTAGAGCATTTTTGAGGCAATCTGCTAAGAGGTGATGATGACATTGTGGTCATAGAAGGAAACATTCCGTCTTTGTGGCTACAGATCCAAGTATTTAGAGGAGAACTGTTACACAATCTAGAATAGACTGCTTTATTAATTTCACTTTTTTTCTTGCAGTGTTGAGAGTCAAGACCAGGACCTGCATATGCTAGGCAAGTACTCTACCACTGAGCTATATCTCTAGCCCTAAATTAACAACCAATGGAAAAAAGGATGTAGACAAGGTCCAAGAAAATCACAAGATTAATTTAGAAGGTGTCTGGAAGTTCATTATATTGTATCTGTGCTTCCAACATTTGGCTAAAAATCCCTAATTAGAAAAAAAAAATCAGAACTTTGATTAAAAAAATAAAAACAGAGCTTACCATCAGATAACCTTTCCTTCCTAGTACCAATTTGGTTCATCCTTTCCCACCACTAAGCGCAGCCTCAACACACCTGTTATTGCGTTCTCTGAACACAGTTTCATTTTAGCTGTCATATCATTGCTCATGGTGCCAGCTGTTGCATCATTGCTCAGTGCCACTGTCCCATTCCTCTAGCTATAAAAACTCACTCTGCTCAAAGCTTTGGCCCTGAATGACCTTCCCTGTGTTCCCTGGGAGCATTCACTCCACCAGCACATGACCTTATATCTCATTTTAGTTAGTGATAATTGATATTGATTCATAATGCCAAATAAACCCAGATACTTTGACTACCTGAACTTTTCTGTAAACAGCTGCAGGAGCATAACAATACCTAACAGAATAATCACTGCCTACATAATTCTGGATTCCAGGACTGTAACCTACACAAGGCTCTTGTTCAGGCTCTTGCTGGGAGCAATTTCATTAACAATACAGAGAAGCGGCTGACTGAACATAAATTCCTGTTAGTCAAGATGCTGGGTGGTCATGGTTAGAACAGGCTCTCTATCTAGTTTGTCCCAGATGAGGGATTTCTAGAGAAGACTCCTAAGATCATTTGCTGTTGTCTCCATACTGCCACCCTTCTAAGGACATCTTCAAACATAGCTGCACTATACCCCTACACCACCTGTGGGTCCCTATCCCCTCTCGGAGTCCCTGGCCAAGGTGAATACAAAGCCTTCCAGTGACTCTTCTTCAAGCACTGACAGAGTTGGCACTCTCAAAGGTTCTCACCAGATAAAGAACGCTTTTTGCTTTGGTTTGTTTTTTTTGAGACAAGGCTCATATGGAACTACGTAGTCTAGGCTGACCTTATACTTGCAGCAATCCTCCTGCCTCAGCCTCCTCAGTTCTAGGATTACAGGTATAAACTACTACACCTGGTTTGAACACACACAATTTAAAAAGTTAACTATGCCCAGGGTGGTGGTGCATGCTTTTAGTTCCAGCACTAGGGAGGCAGGGGCAGGAAATCTCTGTTAGTTTGAGGCTAACCTGATACATATAGCAAGTTCCAGGCCAGCCTGGGCTATATAGTGAGACCCTGTCTTAAAACAAACAAAGAAAAACAACATAATAACAACAAGTTAACTAAGACAAGGTTTCTATCTTTGGTCTATACCACATACTGTCATCCATTGTCCAAGATCACATGAATAGCCATCCACTCCAGGGCTAGTATTAGGACTCCAACCTACAGCCTCATATACACTAGGAAAACATTCTACAACTGAGCTACATACCCAAACCCAGGTTTTTTGCTGTTTTCCCAGTCCTGGGGATTGAGCACTGGACCTTTTGTTTGCTAAGGTCATGGCTAGTACAGTTTACTTAAAAAAAAAAAAAAATTCAGAGGCCAGGCATGGTGGCAACAGGCCTTTAAACCCAGCAGTTGGGAGGCAGAGGCAGGCAGATCTCTTTGAATTCAAGGCCAGCCTGGTCTACACAGTGCGTTCCAGTCCAGCTGGGGCTACAGGGAGACTGTCTCAAAAACTCCAAAAACAAAACAAAGCAAAACAAAATGAAAAAAAAATTTTCAGTACAAAAATCCACCAATTAACTTTGCAAATTCAGCCTGCCTCTGCCTCTCAAATGCTGGGATTTGTGCAGAAGACAAATGTTCTCCATTGGGTAAAAGTGGTCTGTTTACTCAGAAACAACTTATTTATTTCTGGGAGCAGGTTCAGGAAAATGAGACCAAACTGCAGGGGTCAGCATGTAAGCTCTTCAATGAATTGAACTGGGCCAGGGGAAAGTCTTCAATTAGAGGAAACTCCTTCAACACAATGAACAGGTAATGCCATGGAGGACAGAAGAGGCTGTCGGATCCCCTGGAACTGGAGTTACAGACAGTTGTTAGCTGCCATGTGGGTGCTGGGATTCGAATCCAGGTCTTCTGCAAGAACAACCACTGTTCTTAAGGGCTGAGCCATCTCTCCAGCTCTGGTTGTTGTTTTTTAAAATGGCTACTAGTTTAGTGAGTGACTTTCTTTATCCCTTCAACATTAATAAACTGTGCTTGGAGTTATGAAGCTGTTTAAAAGAAAAAACAAAACCTCTGTGTTGTTATAATTGGCTGGTAGAGTGAAATAGCAATAACTACAAATGGAATCAAGGCAAGACTGCAAAGATCCAGATGTTTCCTAACCGCTTCAAAGAAAATGAAGGTCAGACACTGATCAGCAGAAGTTGGTTTTAGATTTCTGTTGCAGGTTCTGCTCTCTTCACAAACACGAATTATCTAAAATTCAAAGCAGAATTTCTAAAAGCGGTTAGCCTCATTCTACATGGCTATCTAACTACCTGCTGTAGCCATCGTTTCAGCAGCAGCGAACTGTGGCTCTTTGGGGCCAGTGACTGTGCCGGTCGCCCACTTTGGCAATGGCGTCCAGCGGGCTGGCCGTCCGGGGCCATTTTCCGGTGTCAAACGCGTTCCGGACCCGCGGGTTCCGCCGCGGCCCGCTGTCCTCCGAGCTCCGCGCGCACAGGCACAGTGGCGACAGGCGCTCGACTGCCGCGTGACTCTGGAGTGCCCACACTGCCCGAGGCTCCCAGTCCCCGCCCGTCCGCACCTCACCTGCACCCAGTCGGGCTGGTCTCCCGCAGCGCGCTGGGCCACGGAGCGGAAATGCACCGCTAGGTCGGCGTCTCACCCAAACCGCCCCGGGCGGCGCCCCCTGCAGGCAGCGCACAGCTCCGCCCGCCCCTGTGGGGTGCCCTAACCCTGGGACACCTGACAGACTGCACACCTGGCCGCCAGCACCCCGCTGCGCGCCAGGCCCCTGAACCACTCAGTCACCTAACTGATCTAACGCGCCTCAGAGCCAAACGCAACTCACTCCTCACACCCGTGGACGGCCTGCACCAGACACTGGCAAAACCGCTTCCATACACGTGTAGCACCGACATGACACACATGTACTCATGCTCCTGAGCACCCATGCCCAGCTTTGACACCATGTTGGACCCAAGCACACCCAAGACACATATTAAAAACAGGACTCATAATCGACTTCACAAAGGGAGACAAACGAACCCCTCAGGACAGATTCAAGCATCACCAAAGCCTCACAACAGCACATACAACTCATAATGGATGCAGATAATCATGTAATCATACTGCATACTTACAGATTCTTCTTTTTAAAATAAAACTTGTTTAGGAGGGAATGGAAGGGCTTTCACCTGTCTCCTGGCCCCAGGACCAAGAGCCATAGAGAGAAATGAAAACCAAATGCTATTCTCTAGAGACTTGACTCATTTGGGGTTTGTTGCTTTGAAGGCTCTGATGACAGGAATGTCAGAGATGGAAAAAGGCCCACTGTCCTGAGATGCACAAATAAGTATTTATCAGACTACTGTTTCTCTTAATCATTTCCTGTCCACTTTCTCCTGTGTTAGTCTGCATGAAGTCTTTAAAAAAAATTTTTCTGGATTGATTTTTCTCCTTCCTGTGTGCCTATGATTCATAAGTTTGGTCTTTTTATGGTGTCACACAATTCCTGCATAGTCCATTCTTGTGTTTTCTTAAATTTTTCATAGTCTTTGCTTGAGTGGTCTAATTCATCCACTTTATCGTCCAGTCTTGATATTCTGTTTTCCATTTCATTCACCCTATTGGTGAGGCTTTCTCCTTGGCTTCCTGAGTGTTTCACTTCCTTTTTCATTTCAGCTGAGTATTCTTCAATATTTCTAATTCTTTTCTGAATTCATTCAGAAGTTTCTTTGATTTGTGTGCTCTTTAAATTCACTGAATTTTTAAATCATGTTTACAATAGTTCTTTTGAGTTCCATGTCCTGTGTTATCTCTAGGGGGTTCTCATTGTACTCCTCTAGAGGACTATCGGTACTTGGTGGGGATATATTATTTTGGTTTTCCATGTTATTATTTTGGTTTTTTGTGACTTTAACATGTGGATTTGTTTTGTAGTTTCTGATTCTTGTGTGAGACTCAAGCCTTTCTTTGTTGAGTTTAGGTCTGCTTCTTTTTGTAAACTTTATGTAACTTTGTGGTTTACTTGTTGGGCATGAAGAGTTGGTTGGTCTAGGCTTTAGGTTCTCTTTTGATTTCATATTGGACTGGACAGATTGCTTTTGTCTTCAGGAGTTCCCACAGAGACCCAAGTCAGATGAGGATCAGATGCTCTCAAGCTTTCTCCTAAGGTCTGGATCCCTCCAGGAAAGATGCTGATCTCAGGAATTTGGGGGCTGGGCTGGCCAGGGAGCAGGGTCCAGGAAAGATGCTGGTCCCAGGAAGCTGGTGGCTGTGCCACACAGGCATGCAAAGGGAGGTGGGGGCAGGAAGAGACCCCAAGGGCTCCTGGGGACTACTGGGAGGAACTGGGTTGGTCTGAATGCAAAGGATCAGGAAGCAGTGTGGACCCTGGGGTGCCAAGGCAAGAAATGGGCTGGTAGGAGGGATGGGGTGGGGGGCCTTGGAGGGTGAAGAAGGCTGGGGGAGTCAAGGCACAGTGGGCACTGCAGGACTTACCCAGGAAAGATGCTGGCACAAGGAAGCTGGTGGCTGTGCAGCCCAGGGGCGCAAAGGGAGGTGGGGGCACAACCAGGCCCAGAGGGCTCTTGGGGATTGCAGGGAGGGATTGGGTTGGTCTGGATGCAAAGGATCAAGAAGCAGTGGGGATTCTGGGCCAAGAGGTCAGTCCAGGGGTCTGAGGTGCCAAGACAAGAAATGGGCCAGTACCCAGGCTAGGAGGAGAGATGGGGTGGGGGAGGCTTGGAGGGTGAATGAGGCTGGGGGAGTCAAGGCACGGTGGGTGCTGTGGGACTTACCCAGGAAAGATGCTGGCACCAGGAAGCTGGTGGCTGAGCTGCCCAAGGAAGCAAATTTATTTTTTATGTGTATGAATGATTTGTCTGCATGTATGTAAGTGTACTACATGGGTGCAATAACCACAGAGGCCAAAAGATGGTGTCAGATCCCTTGGAACTGGAGTTATGGATGGTTGTTAGCTGCCATTTGGGTGGGTGCAACTCAACCCAGGTCTACAAGAGGAGCCAGTGCTCTTAACCCTCCAGCCCCTTGAAATCTTTTTGTAACCTTGGTTTTCAAGTAGGTATTTCCAACAATGCAAGAGTGGTTGTATTTTAATAGATGTGCAATTCTATAAGAAATCTGATACTATTCCTAAACCACTGACTTCTAGAAGGAGGACCAAGAGAGGGAAAGGAGGTCTTTAAGGGAGGACTGGGGGCAGAGGAGAAAAGACAGTAATAGACTACTGTGAAATGAACACAGATGGACAAAGATGCAGAGAAGAATGCGGAAGATTGACAAAAACAAAGAACTATTAAAATACCGTAGTATCATTACTCTGCATGCTAACTTACAAAACTAATAAAGATGATTCTAAAAAAAGTTAACCATCTAAGAATGTTTGAAGATCACTGGGATACTGCAGCCTTCTCATTTCAGTGGAGAAATTGATAAAAGCAGTAACCATCAGATTGCTTCTACGGGGAAGCAACTGAAACATGGTGAAGTATGGTGGGATTGGAATCATTTGTCTCTGGTAGTTACTGAACTTTAAAAAATATGACCCATGGCAAGGAACCTGACCCCAAAATTTATGGTCTTGTTCTCAAATTCGTCCAACCTCATCCCATTGTTTGCTGAGTAGTTTCCTAAGCCTAGATGGTAAAATCCACCATCACCATCCAAATACTTTATCAGAATGATTTTAGACATTTGCAGTTTTATATTCCTCAAGACAATACGTGATGCTCTGTCAGTTTGATGGAACTTACAGACTCACCCAGGAAACAGAACCTCTTGGCACAGCTGTGAGGATGTTTCTGGAGCGGTTTAACTAGAAAGACCCACTCTAATATGAGTGGCAACATCCCAAGGGCTCGGGTCCAAAACTACATATAAAGGAAAGTGAGCTGAGACCAGTGTTCATGCCTCTGCTTCATGACTGCAGATGCACTGTGACTCACTGCCTCACACCACTGCCATACCTTCTCCACTATGATGGTCTGTATGCCTTTTTAAACTTTAAACCATATCACCTTGCACCCACGACTGGCCTGGAAATCAGAGAGATCCTCTTGCCTCTGTCTCCCAGGTGCTAGGATTAAAGGCATGCATAAACAAATAAACCTTTCTTTCCTTACATTGCTTTTGTTAAGTATTTTGTCACAGCAATGAGAAAAGTAACCCTGTTTAAAAAAAACAGGCCTAGTAGCTGGGCATGGGGCTCAGTGGTAGACTACTTGCCTACTGTGTTCAAGGGCTCACTGATTCCTGTAGTAGTTTAAATGAGAAATATGTCTCATAGGCTCATGTATGTACTTGAACATCTCACCCCCAGTTGGCTCTGTTTAAGGAGATCATGGAACCTTTAGGTGTGGTCTTCCTGGAAGAAATATATTCTTGGGGTAGGCTTTGAAGGCGTATTGCCTTGCTTCACTTCCTGCTTGTTCTCTGCTTGTAAGTGCAGATAAAATGTGATCAGTCAGCTTCTGGTCCTCACACCTGCTGCCATGCTTTACCTACCATTATGGACTCCTCCTCTGAAACCATAAGCCAAAATAAACTCCTCTAGAAGTTCATTTTGGTCATGGTGTTTCATCACAAGAACAGAAAAGCAAGCAATACAATCCTCAATACTTTAAATACACACACACGAGAGAGAGAGAGAGAGAGAGAGAGAGAGAGAGAATATCTTTGAAGGAAGGAGGCATACAGGTCAAAAAGATAAGACATCTGTGTGAATTTAGACCCTTAAAACTGGAAGGTAACCAGAAGAGCATAGCAGATTGGAGGTCTGTGCTATTATTATAGGAGTTTAGTTCAATGAGGCCTGGCAGGGCAATGAATGGCATCTCCTGGTACACAAATTACACAATTGGTGCCAGTATAGCAGAGCAAGAGGATGCTCCAGTGGGGTGAACACTTGTTGGGCAGAGACTTTGTCAAGATTGTGACTTGCCTTACTGATAACTTCAATTCCCAAAGTATAGTGAGGAGTAGAAAGTGAACAATAGTCAGGCCTGGTAGTGTATGTCTTTAATCCCAGTGCTTGGGAGGCAGAGGCTGGCAGAGCTCTGTGAGATCAAAGTCAACCTGGTTTACATAGTGAGTTCCAGACCAGCTGGAGCTACAGGGACACTAAAAAAAAAAAAAAAAAAAAAAGTGAACACTATTGCAGATATATGTGGCAAATTACATGGACCTAACCAGCTTTGCCATTCTATATGTTCTTTTCAAAATGTGATGCCAACACACATGAAGTGAGGTCCATTTCCTTCCTTTGAATCTGAATGGAGCTGTAACTGTGGCAGAAAACAATGAAAATAAACACAGCATTGTGCCAGGATTATAGGCATGCACCACCACATTGGTTCTACCTTAAAAATCTACATATGCTTATATAATATCATTGGCACATCAAATCTAACATCATTTATAGTTTTTAAATTTAATATTTGGACTCAAAGAAGGCAAACTTTCTGCTTAGATTCCAGTGGAGTCATTTCACTTTAGAATTCTTCATAGGTGGCTCTATGTATGTCACATGGCCTCATAGTGGGAGACTGACTCAGTGATGCTGAAGTTAATCAGTGAGCTCAGCTTTCTGGATACAGTGGACCCTCCAGTGCCAAGTTCCCCATCCGCCTTCCAGCTAACGGTTTTATTCATTGCTGATCTTTGCTTGAATCAATGAATTCATTTGGGACAAAACCCAAAGGATGATTTTCTAATCGACCTTCTTTTGACATTTATTATGAATAGCTCTGACTAATCCATCAAGAAGGCTCCCTCTTAGGCTCTGGATGCTCATTTATCTTGTGATCTTGAGGCATGCTGAGTCCAAATTCTAGACAAGTATCTCAGCCGTCAACTTAGGAAAGCCTTCTAGACAAGATGGGAAATACAGACCTTGTGGGTACCCAATAATGTTAAAAATTAATTTGTCTGCATTAAGTAGATGCAGTAATCTAAAAAAAAACAAGTCAAATTTCTGGGTTGGCACATATATTTGTGTCTTACTGAACAATAGAGTTAACAATGCTCATCAGAGGTGTAAAGTGGGTAACAATGTGAACATAGCTACAATTTAAATATTTTTATTTCTTATGGTGCTAGGGCTCAATAGAATTGGGCTCACCAGGTTAACATTCTACCACAGAGCCACAGCCACAGTCCACACAGATGCTATTTTAAAACAAGGAGCCACAGGTAAAATTAAATGGGAAATTAATCATATTTTATTTTAACCCCAGTTCATGCCTTGGTACCCATGGACAATGAACTGGAGGACTATGGGAATCTGTAGATGCACAAGTCAAGAGACTCTGTCCATTTCCTCTCACTGTGTACTTCCAGAGCCCAAGAGGTCTTTGGCACATAGTAGGACTTACTTTTTATTGAATGAATGAGAGACTAAATGCATTTAATGCTAGCTGTCTGTTCCACAGATCCTCTTCCAAAAACCTATTCTGCCATCTACCATTTATCTAAAGGTGCACTGAGCTTCTCATCTTTCTATGAAACAAGCCCACTTTAAATTCAAGGAACGAGTAGAATAACACCAATGAATTGCCTAGGATGCTACAGTGGGAGAAACAAGATACCTATCTGGATTTTGTCACTTCAAAGTCCAAGCTAGCTGAACATAAATGTGGCCACAGGTGTCCAGTGATTTGATGCTGGGCTCGATTTTCTGTAACATGAAATAAAATGTAAAGAACATGCTTAAGTAATACCCAAGAGGTCCTGTCGAGGCATGGATGGGAGGCTATGCCTAATGGGATGAAATCTCAAAGAACACATGTAAGCTTACATTTAACCTGAAACAAACTTGAAAGAGTGAAAGATCAGGTAAACAAGCTGCAGTAACATGCTCAACAGGCAAACTAACAACCCACCACATCTTCTCAAGAAGGTGAGGGACTGTGATCAGATTTCACCCTTTTATTTTTTAAAATATTTTTATTTTATATGTATGCGTGTATTGCCTCCACGTAGGTAAGTGTGCCTGTGTCATGCAATGCCGCGGAGGTCAGAAGAGGCTGTCGGATCCCCTGGGACTGGAGTTATGGACAGTTGTTAGCTGCCATGTGGGTGCTGGGATTCAAACCCAGGTCTTCTGCAAGAACAACCAGTGTTCTTAACTCCTGAGCCATCTCTCCAGCCCCATTCACCTGCTGTTTTAATGCTGTCCCTATGTATTATTAAAAATCAAAACATTAAAATAGAGGGGAGATGCAAAGATGGCTCAACAGTTAAGAGTACTGGCTGCTCTTGCAAAACACCCAGGTTCAGTTCCCAGCACCCACATAGCAGCTAACAAACTGTCCATAATTCCATCTGAATGCCCTCTTCTGACCTCCATGGGCACTTCATGACATGACTGCAGGCAGTATTCATACACATAAAATAAAAATAATAATTTTTTAAAAAAGATACTAGCTGGGTATGGTGGTACATGTCTATAACTCCAGCTATTTGGGAGGATGAGGCCAGAATACCATGAATTTGAGGCCAGCTGGGCTACATAGCAAGACCTTGTTCCAAAATACATAACAATCAACAAGAAATATTAGGTAAGTAGAGAACGAACTGGGAAACAGCCTTCCACTTCACTCTTATTAGGAAGGAAAACCAAGAAACACAGACCATAGCTCCCTTAAGAGAGGAAGAAAAGGAAAAGAGAGAGCTCACATTGTAGACTTCCACAGTCTGCAGGGATGAAAGGCTTCCTGAACCATTATTCAACTAAATGGTTCTTTTCTCTGGAAAAGAAAACGGCCACAGAGGGAGCCCTGAGATGAAACAGTGAGAGTTAAGGGAATTTGTTCGGTAGGCAGGGAACCATATTTGCACATCTTGATTTGACACAAGTTTTAGTATCAGTAGGAAGGGGAAAAAAAGGATCCTGAAGGAGCTTTTACAAGAAATATTTTTTTCTTTACTCTCAAAAAACAAGCACCGTTTAAAAATTTGTTTAAAAAAATTAACATAGCATATAATACATCCATTATCTGTCAAGCTGGGTCCTACAGGAAGAGAAATAATTGAGAAACATACCTTGCTCCTAAAAATATCTATAAACTTGTTTGGGGATCATCAAAGCAATGTTGAGACACAGCACTCTCTTTTCTATTTCAACTATACAAATTATAATTGCTGATCTATAACTCGACACAGCTCTGTCCCCAGAAAGCAAGTGTCATCATTGCATCACTTCTGGTATGTACTTCCAGGCAGCTGTCTACAGTATACACCCAACATACTAGAACTTTAGGATTCCTGTTGTGATGGTTAATCTTGGCTATCTACTTAGATCTGGAATCTACTAAGGGGCAAGCCTTTGAGCACACTTGTGAGGGATTTCCTTAATGAGGTTAACTGAAATGGGAAGATCAGTCCTAAATGTGGGCAGCACATTCCCATAGCAGGCCAGGTAGAAGGGAGTCCAAGGGAAAAGCCTTTGCTGTTTTCTTCGAGTCTCTTGAGACACTGCCACTGCCACTGGTGCTGTATTCCTGAACTGATGTCAGAACCCTGTTTCTTTGGTCTTACAACATGGACTTTAGATCAATGATCTCCAGGAATTCTCCAGGCCTTCAATGCCAGAATGGGGCTGCTGAGGAATCCAGCCTCAGACCAAGCAATCCTCAGGCGCCAGCTATTGTTAGACAACCCAGACTATACTGGGTAATCCAATTCAATACATTGCTTTTTAATATGCCGTACTTCTATTGGTTCTGTTCCTTTAAAGAACCTTTGACTAATAGATCTGGACTTCATTTCACTCTGAAGCTCAGGCAGATCTTGAACTTGTGAACCTACCTGTTTCCTGAGTAGATGGGATTATATGCACACACCACCAAGTCTGTCTGAATATTCTTCAACTTGCTTTTAAATGAAAACGAAAGTTATATTAAAAGTGTGTACAGAGATTTGTTTTGTTTTGGTCTTTTTGAGACAGGGTCTCCCTGTAGCCCCAGCTGTCCTGGAATTTACTATGAAGACCAGGCTGGCCTTGAACTCAGAGATCCACCTGTCTCTGCCTCCCAAGTGCTGGGACTAAAGGCATGCACCAACACGCCCGCCGAGATTTGTTTTTTTTAAAAGCCAGGGTCTCACTATGTAACACTGGCTGTCCTGGAACTCCCCTATGTAGACCAGGATGGCCTGGAACACAGAGAGAAGGCAGTGGCACACACCTTTAATCCCAGCACTCAGGAGGCAGAGACAGGCAGATCTCTGTGAACTGTAGGTCAGCCTGATCTACATAGGAAGGTCCAGGCAAGCTGGGGCTAAGGGTCTAAAAGATGTGTGCCACCACGCCTGGCAGCTATCAAGTCTATCTTAACATGGATCTATGTACTCCTTTCCATGAACTTGGACAACTTTATGATACAATTCTATAAAACAGTCCTGTGATGGTTAAATTTGATTGTAAACTGGATTTAGAATCACCTAAGAGACAGAACTTCTGGTCTATCTGAGGGTGTTTCTAGAGAGGTTTATCGGAGGTGGAAAGACCTACACTAAATATGGATGGCACCATCCTCAGGCAGGGGTCCTGGAGTGAATAAAAAGGAGAAAGTGAGTGGAACACCATCATTCTTCACCCTCTGCCTCCTGACTGTGGATGCAAACTACCTTGTACTCCTCCACCATGGCTTTCCTGCCACAATGTGAACCAAACTGTGTTCAAGCTGTGAACCAAAAGAAACCCTTCCACCCATACATTGTTTTTTGTCAGGTATTTTGCCAAAGTAATGGGAAAAGCACCCAATAGAGGGCCCTAAAACAATAGAAGTCACATATCAGAAAAGAACTGAATGCATTTTAAGGAAAAGGAGAACAAAAAAATTCACTAACTTGAACATCGACTATTTAGAATGCAATAAAATATTTTCATGCCAGTTTGTGTGATAATTTTACCACATAAGAAATTACAGAGATTGCATAAATAATTAAGTCAACAGTACAAAGAAGAAACCAAGTAAACATAATTGTTCTGATCAAATAAGTAGAAAAAATAATCCAATTCTTTAAGAATACCACACAGTTCAGAAATAGACTCTTTTTTGTTTGTTTTGGTCTTTTTGAGACAGGGTCTCCCTGTAACCCCAGCTGGCCTGGAACTCACTATGTAGACCAGGCTAGCCTTGAACTCACAGAGATCCGCCTGCCTCTGCCTCTCAAGTGCTGGATTTAAAGACCACGCCTGGCTAATATGACTCCTTTTGAAAGAAAATGTACCTCTTGCATTTTATGGATAATGTCTGTAGTTCCATTAAATGAAATGGAAAACTGCTTCACAGTTAGTAACATGAAAATACAACGACACAGGTATATAGCCCTCTGCACATTGGATAAACAGAAACCATAATGTCAGACTGCCTGCTCTTGACTGAAGGCCTGGCTGGAATATTCTACCAACAGAAACAGTTTCTGTAGAATCTTGTATAATCTCCTGTGTACTAAAATTGCATGAGTTGGAGACATGAAAAAATAATGCAGGCGTCAATTTCTTCCTATGGAGGAAAATGTATATAGATATACCATACCATATGCTAAAATTTTCCATTCTTCATTCAATTATCTACCCTGTTCAACACATAAAAATGTGAATAAATATTTCCTTATAAACAAAATCCAAGGTATACTATTGCAAAAAGACACTTAAAAAACAAAATCTTAGTCTTTCTTCTCATTAAATAAAAATGCTAATATACAAACACTTTTGATATTTATGTAAGTTGTAGGAGTCTGCCATGTCTCGGTCACAAGTGAGGTTTAATCACGACAGTCCATAAATCATGACTGTCCACATCTCAAATGCAGGCTTAATGCAAACAAAAGTTGCTCAAGATAAATTTTTCTGTTTTTCTTTTCAGTTAAAAAAAAAAAGCTTCATTTTTGAGATTTTAGAATTACGTTTGAGTTATCTGAAAAAATACAATTTCAATGCAAAAGCCCTATCAAGCATTCAAGAATGTTCTGCTGGTGCTATAATCTTTTTTGCATGTCTTTGTTTTCATAGGACAAAAAAGTAACAGAATAAACAAAACATCTGAGAACTTTAAACGGCTAAACACAAGCACACAATCTGAATGGTATGCCTCATGCACACTCGTACAAACTCAAAGCATGAGGGCAAAGATCAGACACCTTTCTTCTGCATTTGTTCCAGCTTTCTCCTTAGAAGACTGTAATTCTCCTTGGTGCCTGTGGCTGCAGGGTCAAGCTGCAAGGAGATCTCATAGTGTTTCTTGGCCAAGTTGAGATGTCCCCAGCGATGATAAAGCACAGCTGAAATAGCAGATGAATTCTGTTGGAAGCACTTCTGAATAACTTGCAAGCTTCCCAATCACATGCACAAAGAACTATTACAGGACCTTTATAAAAACCACTGTTTAAAAAAAATATTGTTTGTACTGCAAACTTTATTTATTGTAATCATACACCCTGGGGAGTGTCCCCTGGACCCTTGCCTGTTACTCAAAGGGCTCTTCTTGCCGTTAGATGGGAATCACGTGCCTACAGCAATGTTACTAATAAAGAAGGGAAAAGGGTAGATGAATGTTTTAATGCTGCCATGAAAACTTCCAGGGGGCCAGCACTGCACTGAACTCTGGCTTAAGTCTAGAGTCCAGAATGTTTAAGTCCAGTCTTCTATTTTTTTAACATTCACCACAAAGAATCCAATCATTTACTTTAGATTCCCCTATATCTTTTATTCAAGTAATAGCTTGTGTTTCTCGTTTGAAATAAGGGTTCTAACATCAAAATCTGACTATAAAAACGATAGTTACAATAAACTTAATCATCAACACTCTAAGCCTGATTGGTATAAAGACTTTTTTTTTTCTTGTGGTGCTGGAGACTGAACCTAGGGCCTCCAGAGTGCTAGGCAAGCACTATACCACTGAGCTAGATCCCCAGAACATTTTAAAAATGTTTCATTTTGAGGCAGGGTCAACACAGGTTGCCTTTGAAACAGTTACTACTTCCCTAACAATGATTTTATAGACACACATATAACAGAATTTCAATATGATTCCAATGGAAAACTTTCTTACCCAAATTCCCATGGTAGCTTGCAACATTTGGATTTGCTTTAATTGCCTTGAGGAATAAAGCTTCAGATTCCTAAAAAAATGAAATATATGCAGAAGTACTATACATGAAACAAAATTGATTTGTCCCCTGTGGTTTTCAGTGTTAGTACTGTTGTTTAGTGCCACTATATCCTTCTAGAAACAACCTCTGCTGAACAGAGGCCAGAGCAGTGAGCAAGGAAGGTAACAAGGGACAGCAGAACACAACAGTGTCCAGAGAAAGGTGATGAAGATGCTTAGAAACTCCGCCACCTGCCTTACAGAGTGGCAGGAATTTTGTAACTTAATGCGAGGGAATTGGTTTAGGAGGTAGTAAAGGGAGAAGGCAACAGAACAGGAAAGGGACAGCTGTTGAGGTCACCCATGAAAGGTGCATGTTGAGCCTGCACTGATAACCTCATTGCTGGGACCCTCAAAGGCAGGAGCATGTGTTTGTTTAATAGACCCCATACACACTTCAGGTTGCCCTTGGCAATAGAAGCAGCCCATTCAGCTGGAATGAGCAGAGGAAACAAGAAAGAAATGGCCACCTGTGATGGAAGCTGTCACACCTGTTTATTCATACACATACTATATATGACCAAATGCCCCTGGTGAGCATGGGCTCACTCCTGTACAGACTGGCATTTCCTCTAAATTATCCTTCCTTGCAATGAGGTCACTATGAAGCAAGGTGAAATTGTTTTCTACCTGAGTCCAGATGATCAATTTCTACTATAATGCCTGACAATAAAGATGCCCAACCAGTCCAATATAAACCCAGGTCACTATATGTCTATGACACACCTGTTGTATCAAAAAGAGCCAAGCTCACTGTAAATGGCATCATGAGCTAAGCTTATATAACCATGCTACTGGCTTATGGACAATTTTGGCTTCTTGTGTTCTATGTGTACTTTCTGAGTGGGTTTCCCACCTTTCTAAAGCATAGGACCAGCAATTCCTCTGCCCTTGGATGATGGGAGTTCTAAGAAGCAGGCAGGGGGGCCAGGTGGACAGCTGTGAACCTAAAGATTCTAGACAGAGCTGGCAGAGAAAACCCTGCCTTGGAGAAACGTCACTAAATGAGATGGAAAAAGATATCGGTCTGACACACAGAATTCTCTTGGTGAGTAAATGTCTATGTCCCAGCTGCCAAACGGCCTGCAGAGACCCAAGATTTTCCTACTCTATCAGGTGAGCTGTAAAGCAAACAAAACAAAACCTATGAAGTCAAATGGTCTTGAGAGCTCTGTTGTGGTTTTTATGCAGCTTTGCTATTTATTATCATTTTCAAACAATTTCATCTAACATGTAGAACTAGAGAAAATATAGCATACAGAAAACCAAAATCTACCTTTAAAATGCTCTGCTCTCTCCGACCTACAGGCCTCTCTCTGGAGTAAGTCGATCATGCCCTCTGTGCCTTGGCTCCCCGAGCCTCACTCACCCTCCCATCTCCCCCGCCTTCTCACCTCCTGGCCTGGGTCGTGTCCCATTCCTTGTCTTGGGGCCCCAGACATCTTGGGGGAACCACCACTTCTTCCTGATCCTTTGCATCCAGACCAACCCAGTTCCTTCTCAGGTCTCCAGGAGCACTCTGGGCCTGGCAATGCCCTCACCTCCCTCTACTTCCCTGGGCCTGCACGACCCTCCAGCTGCTTTCCTGGACGTGGGGGCTGACCTTTCCTCTTCCTGATCCTTTGCATCAAGACAAAGCCAGCTCCTCAGTGCAGTCTCCAGGAGCCCTTGGGGCCGCTTCCTGTCCCTATCTTCCTTTGCATCTCTGGGTGGCATGGTCACCAGCTGCCCTACACCAGCACTTTCCTGGGCCAGGCTCCCAGGCCAGTCCAACACCCAAATTCCTGAGGCCAAAATCTTTCCTGGAGGGATCCAGACCTTAGGAGAAAGGCTGAGACCATCTAATCCTCATCTGACTTGGGCCTCTGTGGGAACTCCTAAAGAAAAAAGCAATCTGGCCACTCCAATATAAAATCAAAAGAGAGCCTAGATGAACCAGCTTTTCATGCCCAAAAAGTAAACCACAAAGGCACATAAAGTTTACAAAAAGAAGCAGACCTAAAGTTGAAGACTTGAGTCTCACACAAGAATCAGAAACAACAAAAGAAATTCACATGTCAAAATCAGGGAGAAAAAATAATAACATCAAAAACCAAAATAATATATTCCCACCAAATACCAATAGTCCTCTAGAGGAGTAAAATGAGAAGCCCCTAGAGTTAATGCAGGACATGGAACTTAGAAGAACAATTATAAACATGATAAAAGAATTTGGTGAATTTAAAGAACACAGAAACAAAGAAATGAAAGAACTGAAGGAAGATAGGGATAAACTTCTGAA